AGTTCAAACTGTTGAAAGGCTGCGTCACCTGCTGTGTCTGTAGAGACCGATATGGGAGAGACACGTTTTGTTGCAGCTGGGGCAGACGAAGGCATCCAGTTGTGCCAATGCAGATGCACCATGGCGTTTTTTTCCTCTCTGTGCTCCTCCCAGCGGTCATTCCTCCTCGGTCACATGACCTGATGGATTGTCTCCAGGCGCTGTGGTCATCAGCAAGGGATTCCCACACAGTGGGGTTGATGTAGCCAGCCATTATGTCATGTTTGCAGACATTTTTGTAGCGCAGAGCTGGCCTGCCAACAGGCCTGGGGCCTGTAACTAGCTCCTCACATGCAAACAGATAAGAAAAAAACTCCAACTCAAGGTTGCTCAAGGGTTATCCAGGACTGTGTCCTCTGGATATTGTTGGACTGTGACTCCTATCACTCCAGTCTGTTGACCTTGACAGCTGGGGCTTATAGGAGCTGGAATCCAACCACGTTTGGAGGGCGCCATATGGCTACCCCTTCTTTAGGGTGATCCCCGGACTTGATGAACCTCACCCGCAGCATAGCCCCCCCCCCTTGAGCATCCCAAGGGACAGATAAGAGAGGCCTTTTGGGTCACAGATTCCTCCACTCATGCTCTAAGCCATCCTCAGCAGACGGTGGTTCATTCATTTGGTCATCTCAGATGTAAGTTTAATCAGTCAACTTGAATGACAATCAAACAGGCTAACTACAACCTTTTGCATTACACACATGCTCAGAATCCCATCATCCTTGGCCACTGGTCCTGCTAGCTAGGGATTATGGGAGTTGTAGTCCAACAACAGCTGGAGACCCAAGTTTGAGAAACACTGCCTCGGATGCTCATCTGGCCTTTAGGCCAAGTCTCAGGAAGACAGGAGGCGGTACATAGCAAAATCTCTTGACTGAGATTTAGTTTCATTCCACGCTGACAAAGAGAATGAAGCGCTTGTCTGAATGAGTTGGCAGGGCCAATGCGTCTTGAACCTTCCTGCGGTGCAAAATGTGCCCAGCCTTCTACAAACTGAATAAGCAGATAAAGGGGGGGGGGGTTAAGTTTTGATACCCAGCAGATGAAGATAATTTTTCTTGCAGAGCTTGGAAACGGGGCAGCAAGGCATTTTGTGCGACTGACCTAGTTGCTCAAAACAGGAGCGGCGGCTTTTGCCGTCTGTGAGTTAAAGAACACCCACAGAATCAGCCTGAACATCTGTCTCCGCTTTCATGGCGTAGTTTTTTTTGCATTCCTTTCCTTTCCTTTCCTTTCCTCTCCTTTCCTCTCCTCTGCTCTCAGCATCATAAGAAGCCTTAGTGCAAGGAGGGTAATTTAGAGCGCTGGAGGGGAGGAGGCATGGTGAAAAAGCCTATCTAACCACATGCCCCTACTGCCGGGTGTAGCAGGGTGGAAGAAGAATCCATTAGAGTCATCGTTTCCTTGAGCTAGCTAGTCAGAGCCTCCGTTTCCTCCTTTTTATATGAAAAAAGAAGCAGCGAGTGCAGGTTCGGCTAATATTTATGTCATCTGGGAGGACGAGACAGAAAGCGCTATGAATCTGCAGAACGCTTAACTGTAATGCCTGGAGGGGCAGTAAGGAAACTCAAGCACTAAATCAAAATCCTGCTGCAGCCGTAACCCAATAATGAAAATTTCATAACCACTGTTATGCAGTCTCCCAACTAGGCCGGCTCTGGTGCCTCTCCTAGGCGGCCCGTGGTTTCTTTGTTGTTGTTGACAGTCTGTTATATTATATGCTAGTAGTTTGCCACTCACGTTAGCTTCCTGCCAGAAGTGTTTACGTGTCGACTATTCTGTTAACTTGTAGAGCACCATCTGGGTATGTGGAGCATTGGCCGTGGGCCACAAGTGCCGGAGGAAGTGCGGTGAGGCTCCTAGACTTTTGGCCAGAGCATGCCGTTATTGGGAATTGTTACCAAAGACAGCATCTTATGCCAACACTGGTATTGTGCCCGTGTGCATTATTGTTTTTAGCAGGAAGCCACTGCTTCACCCATGGGGCGGGAAGCTTTTGCAGACCAAGGGTCACATGCCCATCTGGGCAAACATTCCAAGACTTGCATGCCAGCTCAAGGAGAAGACCCTGGCATCCGCAATTAAAAGGATTGGGTGATGAGACAGACCTCTGCCTGGTTCCCCAGAGAGTAGATAACTCTCTGGACAACAGGAGAAGACGTACAAACAGTCTCACCAGGTATAAGGCCGTTTCCGTTGGGTTGTCTCTAGCTAAGTTATACTCAGAGCAGACCCACTGAAATTAATGGGTCTATGTTGGTTATTTCAATGGGTCTGCTCTGAGTAGGGCTAACATGGAGGCAGGGATGCGGTTGGCCCTGTGGTCTAAACCACTGAGCACTTTGGGCTTGCCGATCAGAAGGTTGTTGGTTCGAATCCCCACGACGGGGTGAGCTCTCATTGCTCTGTCCCAGTTCCTGCCAACCTAGCAGTTCAAAAGCACACCGGTGCAAGTAGATAAATAGCTACCGCTGCTGCGGGAAGGTAAATGGCGTTTCCGTGCGCTCTGGTTTCCTTCATGGTGTTCCATTGCGCCAGAAGCAGTTTAGTCATGCTGGCCATGTGACCCTGTGGACAAACACCAGCTCCCTCGGCCTGAAAGCGAGATGTGTGCCACAACCCCATAGTCTCCTTTGACTGGACTTAACTATCCAAGGATCCTTTTCCTTTTCCTTTACCTGACACGGAGTACAACCCAAGAAGAGTACAATTTGCAATAGAACAGCTGTAAATCTGTGGCATGCTTAAACGCACACGTACACGCCACCTCAAGCTGCACACCCTTGCACTTTCACGAGCAGACAGATTTATGTGCCTAGTAAAAGCTCAGTCGAGGGGTAGGATATAAAGCGACCCATTATGGGAGTTTTTCCTACGTGCACCCTGATGTGAACTCTTCCAAGAAGCCAACCTGTCCGTGCCAAACGATGCATCTAAACTGGCCCTTGGGGAGTGCTACAGTGGTGCAGAAGTTCCATCCATTTTTAAATCTTTCTCCCCTCCCCACCCCTTTAGCCTTGAAAGAATTCCTATTGCGGATACCTGGTGCTCCATTGGCTGCCCCCAGTGAAAAATTCATATTGGGAATTTAATGGCTGTGAAACTAAGCTGTAGAGACCCTTGTACTCTAAAGACCACCACCACCCCGCCCCCCAAGCTCAGGCCTCTTTTGCTTAGCTTTCCTTCATCTACTGAAAATAATAATCCAGTCGAGGTTGATTTCTCTTCCTCAACTCAAACAGCAACCACTTTGCACAAGGGTATATGATTACCCCTAACTATTTTTTCGCCGACAGAATAAGATGGTGATGAATAGTGATAAGGAGGAGGAAAGAGTGTAATCGTAAGAAAATAATTATCAGAAAATAAAAATAAAATACGAAATAGCAATTACTGGCATTTGTATGGAGCTTAATCTTCGTGTTGCATGTATTATATGTGCCATCCTTACTGACTGATTTTATTTTATTTTGCTTGCTATTGCTCAAAGTGGCTTACAACAGACATCCACCCACTACCAAATACAAATAAATTTTTTAAAAAATGAGCAGGGGTCGGGGGAGAGAAAGCAGTTTACAAAACACATCGAGGAATTCCAAGAACAATTTTAGCGTTTTAGCGAAGACAGAGTAACTTCAGCAATGCAAAAGAAATGATATGGACTTGAATACGTAAGCACACAGCAGAAAGAAAGTTAATAGACAGTAACGTTCTAGCTGTCTCACGGTAGAGGAGACCCAACAGTCAAGAAGGTGGTTTCTGCATCTGCATCAAATAAAAACATCTTGAAGGTCCCAGGCCACAGAGAGGTTAGGCTGGCCTCAACTAGAGCCAGGGCTTTTTCGGCTGTGGCTCTGATCTGGTGGAACACTCTGTCACAAGAGACCAGGGCCCTGCGGGACTTGACATCTTTCCGCAGGGCCTGCAAGACAGAGCTGTTCCACCAGGCCTTTGGCCAGGGCACAGCCTGACTCCCTCCCTCGGCAATCTTCGCGGAGCTCTGGCCCAATGGTTGCCAGTGGCTTGATTTGAATTAATTTTATAATGAATGATTTTAGAGTGTTGTTTGTGTTGTACTTTTGTACTGTTTTATTGTTGTTAGCCGCCCTGAGCCCGGCTTCGGCTGGGGAGGGCGGGATATAAATAAAAATTATTATTATTATTTATTATTATTATTATTATTATTATGCCGTAGGCAGGCGTGAGGGGCAGCTGGGGCTTATTAACCTGGGAAGGTAGCCCAACTAGGGGAAGGAAAACTCTGATCCTAAACCTCTGCTGCCTTGCGGGATATCTTCAGGAGAAGAAAAGGCTGAGGAGTAAACCCTACACGAATCCAGAACAGAGTCCCTAAGACTAAGTCTTGTACGCCGCCTCCTGGCAACTCCTGAAGCCAAGCTCCCCCTTTTCTTGGTCCCCAAACTGGCAAACAAACAAACAAACAAACAAACAAACAAACAAATAAGAATGAATGAATGAATAAGCAAGGTCTCAAGCTTCTGCCTCTAAGCCATTAACAGGGGGCAGTCAAGGGTCTTGTGGCAGGGGGCTCCAAAATTTGGGTGCAACTACCACAAAAGGCCCTGTTGCATGTAGCATATCAGATGGGAAGGAGGAACTCTTTGGCTCACATGGGAGAAAGGGGTGCTTCAGAGATCCTGCTGGCAGGACGTTTCAAGCAACCTAAAGTCCTCCAAGTGCTGTTGGGCTCACAGCTTCCATTAGCCCCAGCTAGCATGGCTATTGATCAGGGATTATGGGAGTTGCAGTCCAATAAACATCTACAAGAATTCCCTGTCCCTGGGCTAGCAGCTCCCCAGTTTGAAAACCCTCTAAAGTGAATGGATGTAATAAGTGGCTAACTCATTCAGTGGGTTTGTGCACAAAGTATCTGGACACGCAGAATGCCTCTAGTATATATTTTTTCCCCTGGCTGAAAGTGCACAATTTGCTTTGTTCTTAATCCCCTAGGATTCTTGGTTACATTTTTATTATTATTTGCATTCTTGTTTCAGGACATTTCTTCCCCCTTTCTCTCCTCTCTCCTCCACTCCACTCCACCCCCCCCCAACTTGATATGCTAGTTCTGATGCTACTTAACATTCACTGTTTATTTTTAGAGCGAACGGCGTCAGGCAGATTTGTACTCATTGTCTGCAAAGGCACGTTTTGGCTCCTCCAGCACAGTCAGGGAGAAGACAATATTGGGTGATTGTGCCTGTGCAAACCTAAAAATGATTTTAATTAAACCATCGCAGCAGCTTTTGCAATGCCAGAGTTGTGTTCTGAGTGGCATGCTTCATGCACTAGCATTGTATTTTGTGTGTGTGTGTGTTTTGAAGCAACCCCCCCCCCCCCATATTCAAATAACAGTCAATCAAGCCACACACACCCCACCCCCTTTGGGGATTGCAGGTGTTCTGCAAGAAATTGAATCTGATGTTGTTTTGCCGCCTTTATTTATGGCCCCTGAAACAAATGAAAAAATGAGACTGAGAACAAAACTCTTGCTACCTTCATTAAAGTGAAACGTTGTGTTTCCAGCTTCACCCTTTGCTCAGTCTCAGTTTGTGTGTCAGGATTCCTGTCTCTCCCTTCCTTCCGCCAGACCTCCTTCTCTTCCCTTGTTTGTTTAGGTTTTTGTGTTTTTTAATTTGTTCTGCTTGGTTAATCTGGTTTGTTTGTTGGTGGCACAAGGAGCTGCTTTTTAAAATTTATTTATCCCTGGGGGGGTCGAGGCTTCTGTTCACTCTGGAACGCTTAGAAACAACTGGAATGCGGGTGGACGGATTTAGCATGAATATTGCAGAGCCTCACTGGTGACAGTCAAACGGGGTATGCCTGTCGTTTTGCATGACTGGTGCAGGTGTATCAATCTCCGGCTAGGGAAATCTTGCCTCTTCTGTGAACTTAGTAGGTGGATTTTGGTGAAGTTGACCTCTCACAGTCTTGACCACTGCTCTGGATTGCATTCACTTGCCTGAGAGGGTGGGGGTTAGGTTTCCAGAAAGACGATTAATACAAAGTGCTATACAAATGCAAAATGTGGGGTGCATGTGCAAATGCGTCATGCATTTGTTTCATTTATGAATCACTTCCCTTGAGGCCCCCCGAAGCCATTTACACTACAACAACATATGCAAAACACATACATATGTAAGACAGTCAAAACAATTGCATATATAAAAGTGATGGTTAAATAAAACCCCAATTATATATAAAAAAACAGGTTAGAACAGCAGCAGGATATACATAAAATCATTTCAAATCCAGGACAGATGCCAACTGGGAATAAAGATTTTAGACAGCTTATTGATAGCGGAACGCCTTGAGCAGGTGCTGAGAAGACCTGTCTGAAGTGCAGTGGCAGGGAGTTCCAAAGGCCCTAACCCAACATTGTGTGGAACAGTCCTTCTGAGAGGATGGTATCTGCAGGATGCTCTCCTTGCAGAATGTAGTGATTGGTTGGCTACGGAGGGGATATGGCAATCGTTTGGGTGTCCTGGTCCCGAGCTGAATAGGGTTTTGTACAGCAGTGACGGCACCTTCAACCATGCAGCATAGAGGCTTTACACCCAGGGTGACTTATTTTGGGGGGGGGGCAAGGGCCACATTCACACTTGACTAACCCTCTGAGTTTTGCATGCCAGCAGTGGCTGTCACCCACCCACCCCACTCAGGACACACGCGGTTCAGCTGATCTATCTTCTGCCGTTTTACATCTCCGTCACGATTTTCTCTAAACTGAAAAGTCCTAAACACAGCAACCTTTCCTCCATCAGGGATTCACTCCATCTTCTTGATCCTTTCAGTGTTGCCCTTTTCTGAACCTTAATATTAGAAGATTAAGGCTGCAATCCTACCTACAATTGCGTAGGCTCAAGCTCTGTTGAACTTAGTGGGATGTTTGAGCAAGCATACCTACGACGGGGCACAGTATCTTTGGGAACATAGAAAGCAGCCTTATGCCCGCTTCATATTCTTCGTTCATCTAAGCACAGTATCATCTGTTCTTAGAGGCAGCAGTTCACCATGGTAAAAACTCATCCTGCCCACTAATTGCTTCCTGATCCCTCTAACCATTTATGGTGCCACTTACTGACTTATCCTAGGGCTTTTCAGATGCAAAACTCCACCACTGAGATACAACCCTTTCCCCAGGATGGGGCACAATACATTGTTTGCTGGTAGGACACTATCCAGTTTATTTTATTTTTTAAATAATATTTATTGAATTTTAAAGGGTTACAAAAAGAAAGAATTAAAAAACAGCATATTTAAGAAACACAAAACATCACATCACGATAATAAAAAAAAGAAACAAGAAAAAAAAGAAAAAATACAATAAATCTTCCCATAACTTATCTTTCATTTGCTTATTTCCTTGACCTCCTCACACCTCCCTTCTTTGTATTCTAGTTCAATTAGCTATTTCAGCAAATCCTTTCCATCTTTTCCAGTTTTTGTCCTCTATTCTATCTTAATATAATGTAACTTTACTTTTCCCCCTTCACCATTTAGCAATCTATTTTTCCTTAATCCTTTATAGCATTTCTGCTAAAACCGCATTATTTCATTCCAACATCCTTCTAACATTCCTTAATTTTACAATGTTTCTGTAAATAAACTTTAAATTTCTTCCAATCTTCTTCTACCAACTCTTCTCCCTGGTACTATCCAGTTTATTCTTCCATAATCTGTCTTCCCCTGCCTGCTCCCCCATTATTCCTTGATGGTTCAAAGTCCAGGCATGGCCAAACTTGGCCCTCCAGCTATTTGGGGACTACAACTCCCATCATCCCTAGCTAACAGGACCAGTGGTCAGGGATGGTGGGAATTGTAGTCCCGAAACAGCTGGAGGGCCAAGTTTGGCCATGCCTGGTTCAAACGTTCGAGTCTCCTCCTTGCCCAGGTGGGGATTCTTCCATGCCTTAGGCGAGTAGTTGTCTATACTGCTCTCTCCACTGTTTAAGTCAGAAATAGCGCTTGTAAGTAATGCATCTGACCTCAGGGACTTTCCTTTCCTCATCCACCCTGTTCGTTGCAATCATGTTTGAACGATGAAATATTAATAAGAATTCATTTTCCTCCCCCTGTTCACTTCCTTGGCCTTTCTCGAAGTCTCTGGATAACTTTGCTAAAACCTTGACACAGAGCCCTTGAGCTGCTGAGTTTGAAGCAGTTTCCGTTTGTGGCAAAAATGCGAATGGCAGAACAAGGGAGCCTGGCTGCTGAGGTTTCCCAGGTCTGGGCTTCTCCAAAGTTGAGAGATTTGCTGCAAGTCAAAGGGAGAAGTGCCTGCCCGCAGCTTTGACTTCTGAAATTCGGTACCTATTAATGTCCCTGTTACCTTCAACAAAAAATGCCCAGGTGTTGTTGTTTTTTTAACTCAGACGTGCAAGTGCTGATTTGAGCACGGACATTGTAAGATGCTACCTTTAACCAGGTTAGGGTATTGTTCATCTAGTCCAGGTTACTGAATCCCCTCCCCCATTCATATAACTCCCATTTAACTGATTAGTATGGAAGGCTAAGGTTTGAATGTTTTCCTCTTGCCTCACACCGTGTATTCAGGATTGTCCCACACCAGTACAGTGGTACCTCAGGTTACATACGCTTCAGGTTACAGACTCTGCTAACCCAGAAATAGTACCTCAGGTTAAGAACTTTGCTTCAGGATAAGAACAGAAATTGTGCTCGGCGGCAGCAGGAGGCCCCATTAGCTAAAGTGGTGCTTCAGGTTAAGAACAGTTTCAGGTTAAGAACGGACCTCCGGAACAAATTAAGTACTTAACCCAAGGTACCACTGTACTCAGAACTGAACTCTTGGAGTCTTGGGGTGCCTTTTGTCTGTCTTCGACTCTGCCTGGGTCCAAATGTCTAGAACATTTCAGCCTGAGGACCACATTATGCAAATTTTACCTTTTTGCAGTACGCTGGTTTCTATGCGCGCACGCACACACTCCTCCATAAAGACAAGAGTTTAAAGCACACATTCCATCTGGGCAAAAACCCTTCTTGGGCTGTGAAACAGGACCAGTGAGGGGCTTGGCCTGGGGAGACTTCTGAGGGCCACATAGAGAGACCTAGAGGGCTGCATTCAAAACCCCACGCCTGAGGATCCGCACTCCTATTCTGCACCTTATTTCCTGAACATTATTGCTTTGCTTCAGCCTTCCCCCAACCCTCTGCATCAGTACTGGAGATGAGGGCTTAAGGTATAAAGAAGTGTTGCTGCTTTAAAAATATATATAAATCTGAAGATGCCCACTCTCTCCCCCTTCCCTTTTTCTGCTTTTCAGATATAACCTTTCAAGCCGACAGGATGTTATTCAAATATAAGCCTCTCCTTTAAACTGTTTGCAAAACTCCACAGGGTCTGCAGGATATTTGTTTAGCAACAATACATGGGAAAGCATGTTTCTTTCATATGGTTTTTTTTTAAGCTGCTGGGTGAAATTCTCAGGTCATATTACAATAGCTGTTTTGATGTTTGTTTTCTGTCTTACCCTCTTTGCTAGCTAGGTAGAATGCCCTTTACTTCGGGGAATCTGACAGGGCTGTTTGGGCAATGCAGCTGTACTCTGAATTCCAGTAATGAATGAATGAAAGTGTTTGCTCCTTCTTAGGATGATGGACATTGGTGGACTCCAGTTCCCATCAGTCCCAGCTAGCCTCGCCAGTGGTCAGAGATGATTATCCAGCATCTGGAGGTCACCACATTGGCCAACCAGTGCTTTAGCATACATTGCCAACTCTGTGCACAGAAGATCAGAAGGCTTATGTTCAATGTCACAGTGTCAATTCCTGCTACCCAATCTGCATTGTCCTTGCTTTTGGGTCTTTCCCCCCTAAAAGAAAAGAGGCATGCAGGGAGACCAGACCATCTTTTTGAATAATGACCAAGCACTGCTTGGCAATTGAAGTAAAGCTCTCTCTCTCTTAATCACATGGATTTCCTGCGATGAAACCAGTGAGATGGAGATAAGGGAGGAGATGTGTGGGGCTAAGGAGCTTGATGCAGGCAGTAACCAGCAGGCTTTAAAAGAAGCCCAAGGGAAGGAAACCCATTAGCATGGGAAGAGAGGAAGAGAGCCCAGCAAACCACCAGAGATGCAGGCCGCCCTGTTTGCGTTTTGGCAGGAGGAGCTGAATGGAAGCTGTTCCGAGTTAATGTTCTCAACAGCAAGACGCAGCCGAGGTCATGTTACAGTTGAGTCAATCACTGGGTGTAAAGAGCAGCTTTTGCTTTTTCCTCTGCCTCTTCTCCCGCCTGCCTCCTCCCCCCCCCCCCCCGGCTTCTTCTTCTTCTTCTTCTGTGCTAGACCTTTGGCAGACTTCTGTTTTGCTCAGTGCCCAAACTTGGGAGGCAGACTCCAGAGATGTGATAGGATTACTAACCATTTTAAAAGGGACTTGGGAGATGCAAGATCTTCGTGTGCCGGTAATATTGCAAGACCTTGGTGAGTAGCCACTAAGATTGGCCTGGGAGCTATCAAACTATCTATCTAAACAGTGGTATTTTTTGGTCATCAGCATCCTACGTCCTAACTCTTAAGCAATGCTGAACAATGTGCCACCATGAGAGTGACATGCGCATTTGTCTTGTGTGCATCTGCATAATCTTTTATCGAACTGGACATCTTGGAGGGTGGTGTACAAATTTAGTTGATGAGGAGGATGAGGATGATAATAATTTAAATATGTATAAGACAGTGAGGAGCATGGATGTGACTCTTAACCTTTGTTAAGCTATATCCCAGCCATGCAAACACCAGCGGTTTCACACATCCAGGCGAAGCAAGAGGCATTGCTGGACCCTTCTAGGACGCATTCCAGCTTGTAAAAGGGACCCAAGGAGGGAAGTGAGTGTGTTTGGTGCCAGGGGACGTGGCCTGGAAAAACGTAGTTGTCGCGTTGGGAGAGCTCAGGGGGTTCAAACTCGGAAGATCCGGGCAGGGGGCTGCATTTGGCCCCTCTGGGTTTGACGCTCCCCATGGCCGAAAAAATGCAAGCCAACAAACTGGGAGGCTGTGAGATTGCTCTGCAGGCAAGGATTGCGCTCTTAATAGCTGTGTCACAGCAGCTTGATCAATGTCTGCACTTAGCTGTTTTCTTCCAGTCTTCCGATCACATGGACCCTGCAACACTGATGGCAGCCTGACTGTTGGGTGGGGCTAATTGCCAGGGGGAAGGGCGTAAACTGCTGGCTAGGGGGGAGAGGGGAATGTGGCTTGCTTCAGCAGGACTACGTGCCCGATTTTTATTTTTAATTGAATGGGGGATTCTCCTATCTGGGAGAGGTTTGGGGAAAGAATTCATCAGCCAGCATCGATAAGAAAAGCGCAGACCAAAAGCTTACCTTCAGCCCAAGAGCCACAGTTGCTTTTGGGCAACCTAATGCGGGGGGCACACAACAGTGGGTGCAGATTTTACCTTTGCACAGGAGGCTAGTTTGTGCTCTCACGCAGACCCTTCTCTGTCATTCATGTAAGTGAGCAAGAGGCATTGTCACAGCTTCAAGACACATTCCTGCCAGGCAAAAACACTCAAGGGGTGTGTGTGTGTCAGTGCAGGGTCTGGTCCAGGAAGGAGGGCTTGGTCTGAGGAGATTCCGAAGGACCAGATAAGGTGTTTTGAAGAGCTGCTTTTGGGCCCTGAGCCCAAGGTGTCCTACACCATCTCCCCAGCTTTTATCCGATCTAGGATCTTGTTTACGGTCAACCAGATAACGAGAAGCCAACAAGCAAGGCATGAGTACAATAGCTCAGTTGGTTGGAGCGTGGTGCTGATAACACCAAGGCTGCAGGGTCGATCTTCATATGGGAGAGTAGCATAGTCCTGCATTGCAAGGGGTTAGATTTGATGGTCCTCAAGGTTCCTTCCAACTGTACAGATCTATGATTTTATGAATAGCCTCCCGTTGCTGTTGTGATTGGCATTCACAGGCATTTAGTCTCTGATCCTGGAAGTAGCACATGGGGATAACAGCTTATTAGTCCCATGCTCTGTAAATTGTCAAATCCTTCTTTAAAGCCATCCAAACTGGTGCCCAGTGTCACATCTTGGGGCAGCAAATTCCACAGTTTATTAATATTGCCTGTTGATTTAGACAGGAAGGTAGTTGGGGATGGTGAGTTCCAATGGGTTGTCATATAATAGGGGTTGAGGAACCTGTTACTGAACTACAACTCCCACCATCCCTTGCACTTGGCCACAGGCTCCTCACTCCTGATCTGGAAGGCAAAGTTTGGAATGTGTGGGAGGGAATGGCTAGACATCATACGCAGGTTGTCATAAGTCTGTGGGAGCCATTTTTCAAAAGCCACCCTCCAGCAGCAGCTATTTCCTGCCTCCATAAAATGGATGTTGAAGTGTAACTTTTCGCATGTTTTTATGATAGTGTATATTAACATACCTTAATATAGTAATGCCAATAATGGTCAAAATAAGCAGAAGTTAACAAGGAGCTGGGGTTGTGCAGCCCAAAATAATATTTGAGAAACCACAGAAAATATAGCCACAACCCCAGTTGACTGTCCCCTAAAAGACAGCGTTTAATTGCATCTGGCCCAATGCTTTATTTGGGCACCGGGCACGGTGTATGATGGCTCCTCCGTGCCAGTACACACACAGCACCAAAGGCCAAGTTTTAAACTCAACAGACGAACTCTGTGTGTGTGTTTCTGCATGTGCTGATCTGGCCCTACGTCTGTTCTGAGTGCCAGTTCTCTCTCTGTCAACCTAGACTACAAAAACACACTCTGTTCCCATAGGAGATTTTGTAAGTGCAAACTGTGGAACAGGGGCAGACAATGTGTTTGGCACTAACTGCCATGTGGGAAATCAATCATGAGCTCAAGGACAGCAGTTAATTGCACCTGTAATTCATGTCACTGTAATTTGCATTTCATTCCCTTTAACCTAGGGAATGCCAAACTAAGGTGGATGAAGTTCTGCACTCTATGCTTTGAAATAGTTGCCCCTTTTATGAATAGAACATTTTAAAAATAAAATCGTCAGTGTCCTTGGAGATGGTCGGAGTTGGTGGTGGAGGGTGGAATATTTTGGGTTATTGTTTGCACTCGAGTGGGGGTGGGAGGGGTCCTTTAGACTTTTCCGTTCATTGTTTACTTGCAGTTTTCTGACCTCGTCCCATATGTGACAATGCATTTAGGTTTAATAACATGAACACACAATTCCCTGAAATATTATATACAGTGGATGCTCAGGTTGCGAACGTGATCCGTGTGGGATACACATTCGCAACCTGTGCATGCGCGGGTTGGAATTCGGCACTTCTGCGCATGCGAGACCGCCGAAACCTGGAAGTAACCCGTTCTGGTACTTCTGGGTTTCCGCGGTCCGCAACCCAAAAAAACGCAACCTGAAGCGGCTGTAACGCGAGGTATGACTGTACATTGGTATGTTAATGTATCTCAGTTAGCGTAGATGCAGCCATTAAATGTCGTTGCAGACAAGAAAGTCTTTAACTGCACTCTCACAAAATGTTTTGTTATCAGAAATTGTTAATACATGTTTAATTTGGTGTTTACAATAAAAAATATTGGTGCCATACTTTAGTTTTCAAAACCAAAGCCAAACTTCAAAACCAAAGACGTAAACCAAAGCCAAACTTCAAAAAAGCAAAATAAAAAGCATACAAAATTAAAAACAGTAATGACTGATAATTTAAAGAAGAGAAAACATTTACCAGCTCTTTAATTATTATTATTTTTAGTAGCCCATTGTGTTGATATTGGGATTTTTTTTCCTCCAGAGGGCAGATTAAGGACAAACAAGCCACCTATACCTGTGATGTCCTGTTAATTACTGCTTAATTACTTTTTATGCTGCTCATGCTCTCAAAGTCTTGTAAGGAGATTATTGGAATTGACGTCCTGTTGGTTGTGCATCCTTTGCCTGGTTAAAGGTTTCCATGGTGATTGGCATAGTGGTGCTTCCAAATGTTACAGAAACAGGCCTGATAATTTAGGCAGGAGCAGGGGGGTTGGTTGCACAGGGGAGAGAACAAGATTAAAAGCTCAATTAAGGAATCCGATTCCAATATTTTGTGCTGATTTTCTTTTTGGGGGTGTGTGCTTGTTGTTGTTTTTAAAAAAGGAAGCTCACCTGAGCATGCATCCTATTAATAGACAATGGGGAGGGTTTCTTTAAAAGCAGGCCCACAGATCCATAAAAGTATAGGTTTGAACAGACCTGAGAGCATTTGGATGGAGTTTCTCTTGTGTTTGATCTTCATATCTGCGTTCAGGGTTGGAGTGACATGAAAGAAAACATAACCACTGCCACCTCCTGCCAAATCCTTTCATTATGTGTCTCAGAGAGCAGGGTTTTTGGCTTGCACTGAGGTGCATTTGATTTTCAAAAGGTTGTAGTCAAAGGGGTCCAGGAGTTGGGTGAATGTGCAAGTTGTCGCTGTGTATAGAGCACATGGGTATTGCACTCATCCCTCCTTGTGGTATGGAGGTCCTTGATACACACTGTCAGGGGTTCAGGGAGAGAGGCACAGGGTAGGCAGGAGATGGAGAGCGATGGGGATGAATTCCAAGCCAGCGAGGAAGAGGATGACAATGACTCAAGAGATTCCATGAGTCTTTCCAGCGAATCAGAGGATTCCCAGAAGGGGCGCCGGTGGTCAAGGCCAGGGAGCCCCAGGGGGACGTGTCAGGAGCAGGGGGCCAGCGGAGGATCCCAAAGTGGCAGCTGGGCGTCAGGACCAGCCTCCCCACCAGAGTGCAGCGAAGGGGTGGAGTTTCCAGTGTGTCAGAGGAAGCAGCTCCGGCAGCAGAGAAAGGAGGGAGGTCAGAGCAAGCCGCCCTCCCGGAAGGGGAGGGGAGCAGTGAAGGGAGTAGTGTAACTGTCAAAAGGAAAGTTAGAGGTTTGGCGCGCGCGCCTAGTTCAAATGCAGAGTCGCGCGGAAGTACAGGGAGCCCGGAGGAGGGGCCAGGTCCCAAAGCCCGCAGGAGGGGGGAAGAGCAGTCTGATTCCGCGTCAGAGGAATCCAGGAGGGGCGAAACCCCAGCGGGCAGAAGGACCCTGCGGAAAAGGAAGGAGAGAAAGAGGTGGAGCAGCGCAAGCCTCTTAAATTGGTGCAGGGGAGGGACGGATTCAGAGGGGACTTCAGCGGTCTAAGCGTAACAGACGTAAGGCTGCGCGCCTAGGATGTCAAGCAAACAATGAACTGCAATAAACACCTTTGTATATAAGAAGACATAGGCGTTGGTCTTTTGTGAGCTGAGACTTGAGGCAGCCTTCACACACACACACACACACACACACACACACGTACACACCCACCACACTTTCTGTCACAGTAATAGCTAACTTGCTATCATGCATCTATATGAGTGTGTTTTTTAAAAATGTTGAAATGCAGGTGCAGAAATAGAATGAAAATTCAAGATGATTAAGTACATCATTGAGAGAGAGAGAGAAAGATGCAAGGTTGTACCTTATCTTGGAAAGTACTGCTTCAGAACATTTTTTGCACAAAGTCGTCATTTGATTTGTGTAATGGCTCCTGGGAGGGGGGGAGAGAAAGATTTAGTTAATAACTTGGCATCCCAGGTGTTTCTGATCCATTTGAAGTTGATGGTACAGCAGATTTCTCCCAGTACTAAGTGGTGATGCACATTCTGTCAGCTGCTAATGAATTCGATGCCAAGTCAAAACTGTCCATCTGAATATCATCCTTTAGAAATTCCTATGATTTTTTTGGAGGATCGTGCAAGATAGGATAAATGGTCTCCTCATAAAAATCTTGAATTGATATCTCTCCAAATGATTGAATCAAAGGGCACAACCAGATCATGTATTAGAAAGCTGCAATGTGTGATAGCTTACATGCATATATTGTATGAGTTTGCTACAAGATAAAATGGTAATTCATGCATAATCCATGCTTGGCTCTGCATGCAGGAGGTTCTAGGTTCAGTTGTCTCCAAGTATGGCTGAACAATATTGCTCCATGAAATGCTGGAGATGCTTGAATGTAAGCCATTGTAGAGACTACTGAACTACATGAAAGATGGTTCTCACTCGGTGTAAGGCAGGTTCCTATGTTCCTATCAGATGCATTGTCCTGTAGTTCATTGGTAGAACATTTGGTTTGAATGTAGATTATCCCCAGTCCAATCTCTAGCACAGGGGTCAGCAAACTTTTTCATCAGGGGGCCTGTCCACTGTCCCTCAGACCTTGTGGGGGGCCGCTCCATCGGCTCGTCCCCACGAGGTCCCAGGCAGCGTGCACCATGCGCTGTGGCCCGTCGTCAGAGGCCAGGTTGGCGGGAAGACTGCTCATGTGGAGTGCCAGGCAGGTTGCGCACAGATTGCCCTCCAGCTGCTCCAGTGTGGCCGCCAAGCACACCACCATCAGCAGCGCTAAGCTGGGTGCCAGGCGCGGGGCCAGCAGGCGCGCCCGTCACAATGCCCATGGTGCAGTCCAGACCCGCTGCCCGCCCGCTTCTCCGTCCATGGCTATGCTGGGTTTACTTCCTGCAGCCAATCTGAAGGCGTGCCAGCGTTGTGGAAGTCAGTCCCCATGCAGCAAGGCGTCCACAGCTTCTTTTCAAGGAAACGCTGCACCGGTTTAGCTCAGCACAGGGACTGACCGAGTGTGTGGCAGGGTCCGCAGGCTGGATTTACGAGCCTGGTGGGCTGCATCTGGCCCCCCGGCCGTAGTTTGTCAACCTCTGTTCTAGCATCTCAAGGTAGGGCTGGGAAAGGCTATTTGAAATGCTGGAGAGTTGACTTGCATGGACCAATGACCTGATCCTGTATGAGACAGGTTCCTTTGTAGTTCACTGTGCCCTCCTTGCCAACAAGCCACCCATTGCATCAGAAATCAGGCGTGCAAACATTCAGAGCTCATGTGAAGCTCTAGTACCAGGTATCTATAAGGACTCTCATATGAGACTGTCCAACTTTTTATATTATTTAATGGATTTTCTGTCCCGCTTTTTAGGGTATATATCAGCTGGGGTTTCTTTTCTTCTCCCTCCCTTTTATTCCAACGCTGCTGCATCCGTAAGACCAAGAGCTCACTGCTTGAAAGTTGCAGGCAAAGTGAAGTTATTTGTATGGGTGCTTGTCAAGGAATGTCTGAGCATATTTCATTTTTCTTCTTTCCCCGCAATACAACTTGTTCTTTTTTTTATGATCCTTTTGCCGGAAGCTGCCTGAGAGCTGGAGTATGAAATATAACAACATTTGCATTGCTTCATGAAAGCACCAAATTGAGATGCATTGACGCTTTTGCCAGAAAGCCTGGTAACATTTTTCACATTCCTACTTAGTGAGAGGCAAAAGCGCAGGAGAGAGACAGAAACAGAGGAAATGAGAAAGCGAGAGAGACAGAGACAGTGACAAAGACAGAAAGTGTAGATGTAGCCTGTTGTAACATCTCAAATATTCACTAGAAATACCAATGGCCTAATCCAAAGCAAATGACTGGAGACGAAAGAGGATTTTTTTAAAATACAAAGGTTGCCAATCTTGTTAAGAAATTACTAAATTTTGGTAGGGTATAGTGATGGAGAATTAATCCAGAAAACTATGGGGTGCCTGCCTGCTATAGGATTGGCATCTGCCAGGGTCTTGGGCCAAGGGACACGTTGTTGTATTAATGCAGAGATGTTATACTTCCAGCTTTTGGGGAAATTTAATATTTGACCGTGAAGATGATAGTGTTGCGACTAAGATTTGCATGGCACTTGTGAATGTGTAAACTAGGTTGGCATCCTTCTGTCTCAGAAGATAATGGAGGAGGAACTGTTGGAATGGAATAGTCTTCATCATATTATGAATGTTAGTAGCATGAGAAGGCAAGTATTTATTATCCGCAGGCTTCCTTGAGCTGGGGTTATTGTTATTATTATTAATCTGGGATCAACAATAGCACTTGACATTTGTGAGTTTACATTTCAACTTGGTGAGTGCAGTGTTGAGATGTCCTCTACTTCTCCTGACCCAGCAGAAGAGCAGGAACACTCCCTATCATTGTGTTGAGCCTTGAAGACCTTTGGAAAGTACCAAGAGCTCCTGCTGCTTCCTGAGCATCTCTGAGGTTTAGCACAGGAGGGGTGAGTCTTCACCTTTCCCAGCAGTCCCCCTCCCCACTCCTGTCTCCCTAGGCCTGGAGCACAGTATGACATTAAAGAAGTCCCTGACCTTCCTATGCAAGGGATGTGGAGGCTGGGTTGTGTTGAGCAAACATCTTGGCTGGTTACCAAGGCCAGCCAAAGTTTGTGGACCTCCTGTTCATTAATAATAATAATAATAGAACATGCACAGCTTGTCAAGACACTGCCAATGAAACTTCCTCCTCCCCCAATCTGAGGAGTGTATGGTGTAGTGAAAGGGGAAATCACATGTGTGTACAAGTCTGTCCCAATTTTTCAAACTCGTGTCCCTGCTTGCTATTGCAAATTCCCTATCTGCCTGCCAGCTCAAGGCTTGTTCAAAATCCCTATAGCTATAGTGTAACTTAACAGAATGTTGCTTTGTGGCTGGTGTTAAGAGGCAGAACACACCCCACAAAAATTCAAGGATGTGTGTACATGCATGAATGTCCCCTTTCCAGATCTATCTCTCTCTCTCTCTCTCTCTCTCTCTCTCTCTCCCCCCCCCACCTACCCACCCAGCCATGTTGGTCAACTTGTATGAGCCAATTTTCAGCTATAAAACCATACTGAAACTCACAACAACAACAACAACAAAGAGCACCAGCTATTATAGACATTGATTGTTACCTTAATCGCCTGCATAAGCCTGGCAGCAAAAGCATTCATTAGCTGGTATGCTAATACAGTTAGGCACAAAACATACTTTTACTCCCTGATTTACATCTTCAAAGGAAGATGCCTTCTTCCAAGTCAGACTGTTGGTCCATCTAGCCCACTATTGTGTATTTCAACTGGAAGCAGCTCTCCAGAGTTTCAGGCAAGGGTCGTTCCCTGCCTAGGTTGGAAGGGTCCAACCCCTTGCAATGCAGGAAACTTTCGCCAAACATGGGACTTTAACCCACAACCCTGAGATTAAGAGGCTCATGCTGTACTGACTGAGCTATGCTTGGGATTGAACCTCAGATCTTCTGCCTACAAGGCATGCAATGGCCCTTCCTCTCCTGGCCGCAGTAGTAGTCAGCCGGATGCTGTTGGTTGTTGGACTCCAGTTCCCATCATTCCCATCCAGCATGACCAGTGGTCAGGGATGATGGGAGTTGTAGTCCAACAACAACTGGGGACCCACAGGTTGAGAACCGCTGATCTAGAGGGTGCCACCTTTGCTACCCATTGATCAGGACAGGCAACATGATTTTGGCTGGTCAGCAATCCTAGTGAGAGAATCCTCCAATTTATCTGCTCTGCTTTTCTAGAGAGGAAGTAAGTTGTCGACTTTGTAAGCGGAGACCTCCTGTGATTTGCTGGAACTGACCTTTTTCCTGGCAGTGTTAAAAGATCCTGGAGCATGCAGCTAAGATTCAAACCACCACACACTCACCCAGTCCATCTCCTTTTATAAAAGTACCTCCTTTATTCTCTTTCACTTTTCTTGATAACGGGTATTAAATTGCATTGGAAGTTGTTAAGCTCCAATAATAACAAGCTCACATGAATGCGGTTTTAGGACACACTGTTCCTTAAAGAATCTCGACGGGTCTTGAAAGCTTATAATGTGTGTTAAACTTCTGTTTGGCCCACTGGAAGGAAGATCAGTTCGGCCTGTCCAGGCGAGATAATACATTCCAAAGTGTGCCTAAATTCCGAAAGTGGCATTTTTAATTGCTCCAAAGTGAGTTAGAGCTGGGAAGTGGTGTGCTGGTTCTTAAACTCTTTCCTGCTCACTGTTTTTTCTCCCCCAAGCTGCTGTTTCAGGTTTTCTGACAGTTTGAATCTACACAGCACCCCAGAAAAGAATGCTGAGAACTATAGCTTACACTTTGAAGAGCTACAGTTCCCGGTACTCTTAACAAATGACACTTCTCAGAATTCTTTGCTTGTGTGCGGGGGGTGGAGGGGCTGGAGAGAAATCTGATTTAAATGTTTGGTCTCTGCTCTACATCTCTACTCTAAATCATAACCTGGAGAGAGTCCTGCTGGATGAGAGCACAGAAGCAACAGCCCATCCTCATCCCCTGGCTGTTCACGTAGTGTTCAGCGGTTCATAGCCGTTTAGCGGTTCCTTTTCCAGGCCCCATACAGTTTGTCCAATCCGTTTTTTACAGCTGCTTAAGCTGGTGCTCATCCCTGTACTCTGTGACAGTGGAGCCCCTACATAGAATCATAGAATTGTAGGGTTGGGAGGGACCACGAGAGCCATCTAGTCCAACCCTCTGCAAGGCACGAATCTTTTGCCCAACATGGGGCTCAAACCTTCAACCCTGAGATTACCGACTCGGCTATCCCAGGTATGTTATGCATTATGTCAGGGAGTGGGGAACTTTAGCCCTAGGGGACAAATGTGGCCCACAAAGCCCAACTTTCTGGCCCTTGGGGCTATTGCTACTCCACACTCCTCAAAGGCCCTGCTTTTCACCCTTCTTGAGTTTTTCTACATGGGTGGAATGTGTTGTTGAACTCTGGTAATGCCTTTTGCTTGCCCAGATGGGGGATGCAGATCTCGATCTCTCTCTCTCTCTCTCTCTCTCTCTGTAGAAACTGTACAAAGGAGAAGCTGTGCATTGCTGCTGTGTCCATGTTTGCCTTTGGCACCATCCACCACTGGAATTGTGGCCCCCAGAAGGGAATACGGCCCTTTCTTATAAACGCAGCTGTTGTTGACGTTTCAGTGTTTGTGTTTGCAGGCCCCTTTGTTAGTAGGAAACAGAGACAGCTTTGCAGGAGTCCTTCAAAAGCCAGCAGTGTCAGCTGCCTCCTTATTCACAAAAGTTCCGAAGTGATTCCTCGCTTCGCGTTCTTGTTAATCTGTCAGAGTGCGGCTCTTGCTTCGAGGCTGCTAATGTAAACCATGTTAATAAGACAAAACAAGGAGTTGTGCTGTGCCGTAGGCAGCGGGGAGGGCTGGTCCTTGCGTTTCCTAGCAACGCCTAGTGTGGAGATCTGTCGCTCCTCCTTTCTGGGGGGGTGGGGGGGACGGGACACATGCCATGCCTTGTCTAGGCCTCCCTCTCTCTTTTCTGTCGGGCAATTCCTGTGCAAATGGCGTTGGGAGAACTAGTAATTTGCATGGTGTGACCGCTACGAATCAAAAGCGTTTGCAATATGTATCAGCAAAATCTAAATGCTGGCATGTTTATATTGTGTAAAATGCAAGTCTTTCAGCATGGTAGGGGACTCAGCAACTGGTATGTCAGAAGCATACTGTCTCTGTCTGCAGGTCGAACATACCTTTCTGGTTAGTAGCCATTAATAGCCCCATTTGCCATGCATTTTGCCTAATCCCCATTTAAAGCCAAGCCAACTGGTGGGCGTTGCTAGCCCTCGGGGAATGAATGAAGTTTCACAGTTTAGCTACCTGAAGAAGTTGCTTCTGTTTTCCGTCGTTCAGCTTCGTTGGAAGTCCACAATTTCTAGTGGTTTGAGACAGGGTGAAAAATGCATGGCTTTTATCCATCGCTTCTGTCAGTGTATAAATGCTTGCCTTCTCCTCTCCATCTCTGTTCACAATAGCCCTCTCGTACGCTAAGCCTAGAGAGGGTGACCTTATGGCGATTGATCCAAGGTCACCCTGTAAGCTTTGTGGCTGAGTAGGCATTTGAAACCACGATCTTCTTCCATGACTACACTGGACATTCTGATAATAATAATATATAATAATTTATTATTTATACCCCGCCCTTCTGGCTGAGTTTCCCCAGCCTCTCTGGGCGGCTCCCAATTTCCTAGAGGATGTTGGACTCCCAACTCCCATCAGCCCCAAGAAGCATGGTCAGTGGTCTGGGATGATGGGAGTTGTAGTCCAGCAACATCATGGAAAAGTAAGCTGGGATGATGGGAATTGTGGTCTGCCAAGTTGGTTCAAAGACACATTCAAGCCAGGCAAAAGCACTCAAGTAAGGCGTGGAACCGGACTGCAGAGGGTCAAGGCTTGAGGAGAGGGAACATGGCATGTCAATTTCCCAAGGACCAAACAAAGAGGTCTCAAGTGATGCATTTGGCCCCTGGGTCTGAAATTCAGTACTTCTGAATTAGAGGGTGGATTCTTTTACAACACACACACACACACACACACACACACACGTGTCTAGCATTTTTACATACTGCTTTTGAGTGTCCAGCACACTTTCTTGATCTTTACAACAGCCCTGAAAGGCAGGCAGGGGATGGCTGAGGGCAGACTGAGGTTAGTGGGGCAATACCCAAGTTGTCCTAATGGACCAATGCCCAGTGCAAGCCCAAGGCACACTGGTATTGTCACCATATTGCAGATATATCTGCTTGTCTAAGACTTCTTCTACAGAGATGCAAATTGAACTGAGGACTTAACTGCCTTTACACCCTTGGTCACTACAATATCCCAGCCAGCATATCCTGGATTGATATGTCCTTTCTGTTTTGCACCATATGTGTTCAGAAGAGTAGGAATATCTCAATTTGCACTAGGTTCTGTATCTTTGCTTCAACAGCAGGTTCCTTTGTGCATGTTTCTTTACGTCATAGCTCCACATCTCCCGTTTGGCCAGGTGAAGCCCTTTCTTCTTCCAACAGAATTTCAAATACACTTGGAACCAAAGGTGTCCTAATGGGCTGAGCTCTCTTCCTTTTCCCATCCCACCAATCATCTTCAAATATTTCAGAAGCTGTGCTTGGAACTAAACAGTACCTTAGCTTCCCAAGGAATTCAAGATGGATCCCACAGGCTGAAATATTGCTTTGTCCAAGCACTCTGCTGTGTACTACTGGTTTGAAACAGAGTACAGGGAGCTATTTTTCAAATGCTGTGGTTAAAAAAGAGCTTTTATAGTAGCTCAGACCTGCCAATAATTTATCTTTCCCTACCAGCAGCTTCTCAGGAGTATAATCATTAGAGTTTGTATGTGGTACTATCTGGATCCATATATAATATTTCCAACTTCTGTTCCTACCCTGATAAACTCCATGCTTATGATGTGTACCCTCAGTATCAATCTGACGAGGCACCACTTGAGTTATAGCATGCATTGCAGGTTTTTCACCGTCTATGGCAGGCTTCCTCAACCTCATCCCTCCAGATGTTTTTGGCTTACAATTCCCATGATCCCTAGCTAGCAGGACCAGTGGTCAGGGATGATGGGAACTGTAGTCTCAAAACATCTGGAGGGCCAAGGTTGAGGAAGTCTGGTCTATGGCTAGAATGGGTTATTGTTTTTGGAAGTACAACAGTGGGGATCATTCAGTTTGTAAGTGAAAGGTTAATAGAGGAAGCTGACCTTCTGGTTGCTTGAGGACCAACCCTACCATTAGGCAGAGGGAGGGAGGGGACAGGCATGGTAGCTGGGTGATGGTGAATGTGTCACACGGTCTCTCCATAATCCTGTAAACTAGCCTGTCCTTCGGTGCCGTGAAGGACACTGTCTTGTCACCAGTGTTGGAAGTAAGATCCGACTTTAGGTTGTGTACCACCTTGCAATATTTTATATACAAATATAGTCTATGAATATGTTCATAAACCACCTGTTTCACTTGCTTCAAGCAGCAAAATGACCCAGCTTGGCCCTGCAAAACTTCCATCTCCCCAAAGACCCAAACCCATGCAACAGGCATGGGTAAACCCTTTAGAGCCTAAGGGCCACATTCCCTTCATGACAACCTTTTGAGGGCCACATGCTAGCAGTGGGCGGACACAGTGGCAAAAGTGGGCAGTGCAGCAATTTTTAATTCAACCTTCTTGCACAAATAGGTGAATTTCTACACCCAACCTTCCACACCCCTCACTGTCTTCTATTCAGGCAAGCTAGAAATGTTATCAGAGTTCAGGATCACATGCCAACAGGAAAGAAACACTCAAGGAATGTGCAAAGCACAGTCAGAAATGGGCATTGCCTGGGAAGAAGGGCGGTCTAATGGTAGGGTGCTGTAGCATTTTCTTATGTCAGTCTTAGGACCTTACTGCATATTGTAAACTTAGCTTCTCAATGAGAGAGCTTTAGGGCCCTATTTGTGAGAGCTTTGACCCTTTTTGTACCTCATAACAGTGCCATTTTGAAAATCTGTAATAGTAGTAGTAGTAATATAATTTCTTAAGAGCGGTGGCCTGGCCTATGAAACATGCATTGATGGCTGTGCTTTTAGAAATGGCGCACTTGCTTCTTGGTAAGGCTGTTGAGCTCCAAGCGCTTTCAATTAAATCCCTGTTCTGAAGGTTCCTGAACTCATTCCAAAGCTCATTTCCTACTTCATCAGGAAATTGTTTTGCTGCCTTATTGCCTGAGCTGCAAAATAATCCAGAGCTGGGGGAAAGGCTGGTGGAATCACTTCTCTGGGGTGTCCTGAGCAGTCGGCACTGAAGGTGGGCCTGTAAGGTTTGAAGAGATGCTACTTCTTGTTGCCTAGATACTCCTGTTTCTTGTTTCCAGTGAAAGAGTGAATTATGGATTAGAAATACTGCTATCCAAAGCAGATTTAAGTGCCTGTAGATGCACTCCTTAGAAAGCTTCCTGAGATTAAGTGATCAAATAAAACCATTGAAGCAGGAGAAATGCAATACCCATAAGATAAAATCTACTTCACCCCCCTCCCCGGGCAACTCATGGCTGGTTGAATTCCATTTCAGAAGTCTTGAACAAAACATACAGTGCCTAAAGTTCTCCTAAGTCCAAGCACACTGCTGCCGGATGAGTAGCAAATAGTTTTGCAGAGGAGTAAATTCTTCAGATTTCAAGTGCAATCACTGGGGAGCAGGGATGGAGGATAAATTCTCATTTAAATATGAACCTATGAAATTTGCATTTTAAAAAAGAGTGCATGAACCGAAATTCAGACACCCTTTGAAATTCAAACGTTTCTGAATTTTGCAATGCAGTGCAAAAATTCATAAACTATGGTATGGTGTACATAGAAAAATACATATTTCTAAAAAAACAGAATACAAAAATGCATTATCTTCAGGGAAATTGCTGTGCAAAAATGTGTGTATTAGGTAAAAGTACATTCAAACATGTGTGTTTGGATAAATTAGCAGTAAAGCTGATGAATTTGCATGAGGCCTATGTTTTGGAGCCTGAGTGGTATACTTCCTGGGGTGTTGCACTAGAACCAGGGAAGACTAGGCTCAAAGCCACACTCAGCCATGAAACACTCTGATTGTTCTATGATTCTATGATTCCTTAGGCCAGCTGCACATTCTTACCCTAGGATACCCCACAAGGCTGCTTCAATAATAATAAAATGAATGCAGTGGGGAGAAAACGTATGCTCTCTGGGGCCCCCATATCTTTGGAGAAAGGTGCAATAAATGGCATAACTAATTGTGCAGACTGAAGAAAATAGCAGCCAATCCCCAGAGGTGCTAATAGGTAGAACTGGAAAATTACTGGAAAATAGTTGGAAAACTACTACTATTTACTTTCTGGGACCCCACATTTAAATTCTTCCCTGGTCTCCTTGCTGACCCTAGTAGGACCAACTTGGCCAGTTAGCCCTGCTGATCATTTGATGTCTACTGACTGGGGTCCCCCCCCCCAAAAAAAATGACCCCTGAATTTTTGAATTTTATTGATATTGATGCTGCATTTTATGTTGTATTTTATGCTGTTTTTAAGTCACATTTTAATCAATGCTTTATATTTGCTGTTAGCTGCCCTGAGCCCGGTTTTTAAACTGGGAAGGGCGGGGTATAAATAAAAAAAGTATTATTATTATTACTTCTTACAAATGCCAAAATGGGCTTCTAAGCATTTTACAACATATGAAAACGAGCCACAGAAACATTAAAATATGACCCTCCATAAATGGACAATAAAACAATCCTATTAAAACACAATCACTTGACTTTGCTGGTCTGAGGAGTTTACTCTACCTAACCTGAAATACCTGCAGCATCTCCCAGGGGTGCCCCAGGTATGGACTCCTCACTTTTACCTCCTTGTTTTAGCCTTCTAGCACTTGACTTATGGACACTTCCACAGATGGGTGGCAAGTTTATGAATTGTACGTTCCATGTCTGGAACTGGGCCCTAAGAATATGACTGCTGCTGAATATTCAGAGGGGGTGTGGCTTAGTGGTAGAGCATGTGCTTTGCATGCACAAAGTTCCATGTTCCATTTCCCAGTATATCCAAGTAGAGTTGGGAGAGATACTTGCCTGAAACCCTGGACGGCCACTGCTGGTCATTATGCACAATACTAGATGAATCAGTAGCTTGACTCAGAATTAGGCAGCTTCCCTGTGTCCCTGAATTACTTATGCAAAAGGCTCATGCCAGTCAAGCACTTTGCTTTCCACAGTGGGCATCCACGAAGCTCGCAAATAGTGCAGGAAGGCAATAAACCTCTCCTGTGGCTGTTCATTGGCTGCCCCCTTGACAGGACTGAAGGGGGGCGGAAATGGGGAAGAAAGACACATATTTTGCAAGCCATCCTTTGCTAGCTATTGCGTATGCTGTAATTGGACTCTTTCGAGCCAGGCTGTCTAGGCTTGGCTGCATCCGCTGCGAGCAGACAAGTGTCAGCCCTTAATTCTATTCTGTCTGTGTCACTGAGCTACGACATCTCATCTCATCCTGTTATATGGAGACTTAAGAAAAGATAGAGGCATCAGAAAACTGCCAGGAAGCCACAAGGGCCTGAAACCACTTTGCTACTGATAACCTTCATTTTGGCTTCTTTGAGCAGGATGTGGAGATTTTTCTCTTCTGCATCCAGATAGAAGGAGGGTGTGTGTCTGTGTGTGTGTGTATGTAAACTAGCCTATTGTGCAAATGTGAAATTTACATTCATTGCTCCACCCACTTTTGCGTCTAGCCTTGCCCCCTACTGGAATGAGGCCCCCAGAAGGGAATGTGGCCCTTTGGCTGGAAAAAATTCCCCAGCCCTGATTTAGGAACAGAGGTCATATTAGCCCATCCAGTTCAGTATATTACAGGCATAGGCAAACTTGGCCTCCCAGATGTTTTGGAGCTACAATTCCCATCATCCCTTACCACTGGTCCTGTTAGCTAGGGATCATGAGAGTTGTAGTCCCCAAACATCTAGAGGGCAGAGTAAGTGTAAGTGCAAAACACACACTGAAGGGATGAGGACTGTTTTGCAGGTAGATAAATGAAAGGCTGCATGAGATCAGCTGCACAAATTGGATGTTCTTGTCTCTTGTTGAATCAAACAGCAGGTCCATCCAGTCCAGCATCAAGCATCATCTCTCTCATGCTGCTACACCCAGCAACTTATACTTGTCTGCACACTGCCTCTGAACGTGTGGATGGAATTGGGGCCTTGGCTCAACGCTAGAGCATCTGCTTTGCCTGTAGCAGGTCCCGGGTTCAATCCCTGGCATCTCCAGACAGGACTGGGAGAGAACTCCAGCCTGAGACCCTGGAAAACTGCTGGAGATAATACTGAGCTAGAAGGAGCACTGTGGTCTGATTCAGCATAAGGCATCACCCCGAGTTTCTTACCATGGGGGTCTGTGTTTAGCAACAACGGCTACTAGTGGTTGCAGACGCATATTCTCATGAAGAAGGCTCTGGGCTGATTCCCCTTGTAAGGGTGAGTCTAGACCAGCCTTTCTCAACCTGTGGGTCCCCAGATGATGTTGAACTACAACTCCCATCACCCTTAGCTTTTAATAATAATAATAATAATTTTTTATTTATACCCTGCCCTCCCCAGCCAAGGCCGGGCTCAGAGCGGCTTACAAGCAATAATAAAAACAAGATGAATGATTACAACTTAAAAACAAAAATAAAATACAGCATTAAAATAATGGAACATTAAAATATTAAAATATAGCCTCATCGCAGGAGGAGAAGGAAAAGAAAAAAGAAAGAGAGGGAGGGAGGGAATCAAATTGGCTCCAAGCCAAAGGCCAGGTGGAACAACTCTGTCTTACAGGCCCTGCGGAAAGAAATCAGATCCTGCAGGGCCCTGGTCTCATGAGGCAGAGCGTTCCACCAGGCCGGAGCCAGAGTTGAAAAGGCCCTGGCTCTGGTTGAAGCCAATCTAACTTCCTTAGGGCCTGGGACCACTAGGGTGTTGTTATTTATGGACTTTGAGGCTCTCTGTGGGGCATACCAGGAGAGGCGGTCCCGTAGGTAGGAGGGTCCTAGGCCATGAAGGGCTTTAAAGGTCAAAAGCAGCACCTTAAATCTGACCCTGTACTCCACCGGGAGCCAGTGCAGCTTGAAAAGCACTGGGTGAATATGCTCCCATGGCAGAGACCCTGTGAGGAGCCTCGCTGCAGCATTCTGTACCCGCTGGAGTTTTTGGGACAGCTTCAAGGGCAGCCCCGCGTAGAGCGAATTACAGTAATCAAGCCTGGAGATGACCATTGCATGGATCACTGTGGCGCGGTCGGGGCGGGAAAGGTAAGGGACCAACTGCTTGATGCAGCGAAGGTGGAAAAATGTTGCCTTGGCTGTTGCTGTAACTTGCGCCTCCATGGAAAGGGAGGCGTCAAGGATTACACCCAAACTCTTAACGGAAGGCAATGGCACTAATTGGGCCCCCGCAAGAGAAGGGAGTTGGTCCCTCATCCCCATGCCATCCCGACCTAGCCATAGGACCTTTGTCTTCGAAGGATTTAGTTTCAATCGGCTCCCACGAAACCATCCAGCCACAGCTTCCAAGCATCTGGTCAGTGTGTTCGGGGCCGAGTCAGTGTGGCCATCCATCAGCAGATAGAGCTGAGTGTCATCAGCATATTGGTGACAGCCCAGCCCAAAGCTCTGGATAATCTGGGCAAGGGGGCGCATAAAGATGTTAAAAAGCATCGGGGAGAGAATTGCGCCCTGCGGCACTCGACACACCAAGGAGTGGCGCGACGACATTTCCCTCCCTAGTGCCACCCTCTGTCCCCGACCAGAGATAAAAGAGCACAACCAGTTATGGGCTATGCCCTGTATCCCCACGTCTGCGAGGCGGTAGTCCAGAAGATCATGATCAACCATGTCAAAGGCTGCTGACAAATCTAAAAGGATCAGCAGTCCTGACCCGCCTCGATCCAGTTGTCTACGGAGATCATCTGTTAGGGCAACCAGAGCCGTCTCGGTCCCAAAACCAGGACGGAAACCGGACTGAAATGGATCTAATGCCGATGTTTCCTCCAGAAACCTACCAAGCTGTTCAGCAACCGCTCTCTCAATTACCTTACCCAGGTATGGAAGATTTGAAACTGGGCGGTAATTGGATAGGTCTAAGGGATCTAATGAAGTTTTCTTTAAGAGTGGACACACCACTTTTAGAAGACATCTGAAGGCAGCCCTGTTTAGGGAAGCTTTTAATGTTTAATAGGTTATTGTATTTTGGTGTTCTGTTGGAAGCCGCTCAGAGTGGCTGCGGAAACCCAGCCAGATGGTCGGGGTATAAATAAATTATTATTATTATTATTATTATTATTATTATTATTATTATTGAGAACCGCTGGTCTAGATTGTCACTCCTTTGTAGGAGGGATCCAAGTACATATTGTAAACTCAGATTAAAAGTGGTTGCACAATTAAAAGTGGATTGTTGCCCTACAACAGGGTTATCCAATGTAGTGCCCTCCAGATGTTTCTGGACTCCCAACTCCCATCAGCTCCAGACAGCATGACCCGTGGTTAGGGATGATCTTCATTGGAGTCCCAACAACATCTGGAGGGCAACCCAGTTTGGCTTTTATTCCTGCAACCACACTTCCCCTGTGCCTGGAAGACTGCCAGGACATAGGTTTGAGCCTGGTAGCCTAAGTTTAATCACAGAGCCTCATTCCGAATCTGTGCCTCTTCCAAAAAGTTCACTTAGACTTCCGAGGATGGGAAGGAGGGGATGGTTTTGGCAGCCTATCTAGGTGGTTTTTTCCTTCACTCATTTGTAGAGAAATTGCAGAGAAGACTCCTGGTTTTAAATATCTACTTTGTTTTTAAATAGAACCCCGAGACCCACCAAACAGGGCCAGACGTGAAGTGGTGGCTCAGGAGATGGAGCCCCTTAGCTCCTGTACGTTTTGAGCCAAGTACTGAGATGGCCTACTTAATCCAATACAAATCTACATTTGACTTCTTTTTTTAACAGATCGGAGATTCTAATATTCAGACTAGAGTTGAGTTACTGCAGATCAGAGATTCCAGGTCTCTAATTCAGAAGGGAGATAGCCTCTTTTGTTGCTATTTTTAAAACTCTTGCTGAACTACTGCAAATCATGCAGAGATTTTCCTTGAGATCCTAATCTATCTTTTCCCTATCCCCAGTCTGAAAAGATCAGGTGAGAGCTTTAAAGGGCAAAGGATTCATGATTAAAAATTGAAAGGGTGTGAACCCATAGTTTTGGCTTCCCTGTGGCTCGAAACATACTGTATAGCAGTGCTAAATACACTTGCCTGCCAGCAAGTCCCATTAGACTTTGTTGGTGTTAAATCTGAGTAGACCTGCCTAGCATTGTGCTACAAGAGTTTCCCCAAGTATTACCATGAAAGCGATAAACTCTGACGTCCAGCAATTGTAAGAAAAGCCTCATGCTGATCTCTTAAAATACAAGCAGTACCTCTCTCTAGCATGACCCCCATCCCTTTCCTACGAATGTTGGCATGCATTTTAAAGAATAACAACCAAATTATTGGAAGACCAGTGTGAAACCCGGTGGTTTTGTTTCCCTGCTTCCTACCAGCATTGATAAGTGGTGGGGAGCTCTGTCTAAACTTCATCTGAAGGTTTAGATCAATACACCGTGGGCTTCTACAGGCATCGGCAGGAAGGAAAGGATACTTAACTTTAATCAGCCAACCAGGCATTTTGCTCTGGCTGCTCCCAGTTTCAGTTTTCTCAAAGTAAACACCAGCTAAATTTCTGGGCAAGTAACCACAGAGGCTGGGAGCTCCTAGCAGTGGTCTAATCTAATCTATATTAGGCCCTCTCTGTTTTCATTGTGGTTGGAGTAACTCTTCACATTTGGCACAATGCGCTTCCTTGCTAACACTTGAAAAATTATCCTGTTCTTCCCCCCTGCAAACTCCATCACTTTACAAGAGACACGGTAACTGATCTGGAAGAATATTTGTTCTTGCAAAAAAAAAAAAAGTGTTGCATGAACCCCCACCCACCCAAAAAGAGAGCAAATACAGCTATGTAACTGAAATATTCCCTAAGCCATTTTTTATCCCTTAGCGTGTCACAAACAATTCATACAGGGAAGGCAGGCAACTTACATGCATGTCAACCTTCATTCACTTTTTTGCTGCGAAAAGCCTCGTCTGTGTTTCATAAACATTTCACCGAAAAGGCTTTTGATTTTCTTATCCCAAAGGAACTGTCACTCCTCAAGTTGACTCCACTAGAGGTTGCCATCCAGTATACTGCCTGTAAGTGGTGGTATTTAATCAGAACTCCCCAGTGGCATCCTACACAATTTAAAATAAATACTCTGTTGGCCAACTCATGCATTTAGCTTCTGCCTCTCCCTGAAGTCTTTCAGAGGGGTAGAAATATTTAAGGATTCCAAAAGCATTTTAATTTATCAGAGTCAAATCCAAAATATCATTTTGGATTTTGTGTAAGATGCCTTTTGTACTTTTATAGAAAGGTGGAGTCATAAATTCAATTGCCGCGCTACTAATAATGGCACTTAAAAATCCCAAAGATTGTGCATAGTGATGCTCACCAGAAAGCACCAAGTAAAAAAGTTACACTTACTCGTGAGACACTTCTCCAGGGTTCAAAGTAGGGAACAAAAGATGAAACGATAAGGCGTTAGCAACAGAAATGAAGCAAAATCATTCAGATGTTTGCCACGAAAACCACTGTAGTTTCTTGTAAACGGCAGCGAGAGATTTTCAAGCTTTTTGTGTCTCTTGAGTGAGGCCATTAGTCTGCCTGGTTCAGTGTTCTCTGCACGGACTGGCAGCAGCTTTCCAGCATTTCAGATGGTGTGCATTCCCTGGAGAATGCCAGGGATGGAACAAAGGTGCTCTACTGCTGAGCTATGTCATTTTAAGCTGGTGGTTTCCTCTGCTGGGGTCCTCAACGAAGTTTCCCCCACTTAGAAGTGGGCTTTTGTTCTTGGGAGCAGAACCTTGTGGCACAGTTGCTTCCCCCGATGTGGGAGGTTGTCCATATGCCAAGTGGCGCTGCTGCTTTGCTTTATCGTTTTCCCCCTTCCTTGGGAAAATGATCTGGTAGAGGGTCTGAGAAAAGCAACCAGGCAAAAAGCCACGAAGTACAGCTGGTGTCAATTTGCAATAGCATTTTGGGGAGGGGGGCAGGAAGGGGAGAGCGAGGAAGTTAAGAAAGCACTTGGAGTGGTACGTACATATATGTAGTTTGTGCTACATGCATTTTTGCACCCAAAGAACACAGGACCATCCTGC